TAAGCTGAATGTGATGCAAGGGCAAGGAATAATAGTCTAGGATGCCTTAACTTACAGAAAGGTAGCTTCCTAAGGAAGATGTCTGAGCCGACATCAGTAACTAAGTATTCCTTGTGACCATGCCAACACTATTAGCACTTTTTTCCTACCCTGGTTGCTCATCCTGTGCTCTAGCTGCATTCCTTTTTGTTTTACAACTGTTTCCAAGTCACGTTAAGTAAGTACAGTTTCTTTCTCCTAAGTAGATGGCATCTTATCTGCTCACTACACCCCCACGCCTGGCTCAGGTGTACACACACACACACACACTGCAGTTCATCATTCCACACTGTGTCCTCCACAGACAGTCAATATACGCCTCATGACATATTTTAGAATGGTCCTCTGGACACCTTCCCCCGGTAACATCTCATTCTCTTTCTACCACTTCTTATTCTCACTTCTTTAGAGACACGGAACTGAGGTAGACATAGTGAACAAAGTTACTGTCTTCTTCACTTAGGGAGCGATGTCAATGTCAAAACCCAAAGGAGAGTTCTATTTTGTAACGACAATTATTGTTCCTGCTTGCAGGCGAAGGGGAAGAGAGGAAAACCAAATTGGAAATGTTTATCCCTAAGCCTTTACCATAAAGACACAAGGAATTTTATCAGAAACAAGTGATCCACAGTTTGCCATACATCAACTGCAGTGATACGCTTAACTGGTAGAGTTCACACAGACATACTGGCATCTGTTTGTAGGTGATTCTCTTTACCAGACTGGGCAGGGCGTGGCCTTAGAGTGCATTATCACTTAAATAAAGGATGCTATGGATTACAGCAGATAGAACCAGCACAGCTCTTGCTCTAGTATACAAAGTTTGGCTGATATTTAACTTTTGCTAGGGGAAGAGGAAACATTTACAAGCTGTTATGCCAGCAGCCTATAAGCACAGTTTCTTACTTCATTCAAACCTTTCTGTTACAGAACATCACCACTATTAATACTGCCATTGTATGACTGAGTAGGGAATTGCTATCTCTGACTTACTGAAAAAGCACCTTCCATTTAACAGATTCAAATAAATTTAACACCATGTACAAACTAAACAAAAGTAATTAAAAACAAATGAATAAGGAATGCATAATTGCATAAATATTTATATAAATTCCTCTGGAAAAGAAGAGCAATGAGTGGGCTGTAGAATGTTAAAATATTAACAAGGCATCATTAGGATTTTTTAAAGACGTTTTTCCAAATCAGCAAGGGGTACTACAATGTAACTTTTATCTTTAGTAGAGCTTGAGTTCTGCTTCTAAAATTACCAATGACTTACTAAGAGACTTTGGGCAAATCACTAAACTAGAGTTCTTGTTTGTGATTTTTTATTTTAGGATATTTTATGAAATATACAAATGGGGTCCAAGAACTAAAAGACTCTCATTAACTAAAATTCTACACATGGAGTCCAAGATAAAAACTACCAACACTAAATAGTGCATTACAGTTTACAAAGGTATTTCATATCATTTCATATTTAAATTTTATAACTCTGGGGGTTGGAGTAGGTAGACCAGGTACTATTATTATTTTCTTTTAAAAACGAGAGAACGGGGTTTAAAGAGATTAATTTGCCCAATATAGCTTATAAGGAGTTAAACTGGTCTCAAGACTGCAACTTTAGTATTTTACCACCTAACTTAGTGCCTGACACATATGGGTATACTCAATCAATATTTGTTGACTGACTGAATGAATATATCACACCACCTCCCCTAACTACATTTACTCATTTGCAAACAGTCCTATATAGCTACGTTTCAGAGTAGTTGATAAGGTTATTTACTTCCCAATAAGGAAGCAAGAAGCTACTGTGAAGATTAATGTAGCCATGTATTTTGGTAGTATAAGGCCTGTGAGCTGAAAAAGTAAGATATTCAGTGTCCAGACACTGTGAAATTTGGAATAGAGTTGGTGAAAATTTTGTAGGATGTTTAAAAAATGATGGACCAATTATCAGTATTATTTTGTGGGGGAGGGACCTTTCAACAAGACTCAATGGGAAAAGTAAAATTTGGAAAAGCATTTGAGCCCCTGATAGGAAAATAACAATGCCTCTTAATTGTTATGCCTTTCATTCACAGTCAGAGAAAAGAAGTCCTAGAGTTGGCAGGGCCCTTGGCAGTCACCTGGTCTAATCATCCCCACCCCCTACTGCCATTCTGCTGAGAATTTTGGGGTGGTTGGGAGGGGATGTCATGTCTCAATAACGGGAGATTCAAGGCTAGACTCCAGTTTCCTTACTGACAGAACTCCTCATGTGAGCTGCTGGGACTCGTATCTTCTCTACAGGTGCCACCTAAAGAGATTTCCTATCGTCTTAAGTCCTTCCCTAACCACAGTGACCATCCTATAGCCCTACTTGGGAACATATGGCTTCCTGAGAGTACGACTTAAGTGGCAGCAGGTTGTATTATAGATAAATGCTTCCCTGGCCTTCCCAGAAGATCAGAGGTGTGTGGTAGAAGAGCAAAGGCTCTGGAATCAAACTTCTAGCATAACAATCCTGCCCTGCCACTTACTGATTGTGCAACTTTGGGCAAGATAATTAACTCCCTGAACATTAATTTCTTTATCTGCAAATGGAGATATTATCTACTTCACAGAGCTTTTGAGATAATCCAAGTAAAACATAGTCAACAGAGGATCTGATACATAGTAAAATACTCAGTAAAAATGTGTTACCTTTTACTCACTCCTCCTTACCTGTAGTTACCCTAGGTACCTGAGCTAACACTGGCCTCAGTGAGACTCGGATAACTTTCCTTTCACTCAGTTAACAGATACTTATTGAGCAATTATTACATGCTCGCCTCTAGAAATACAACAGTGAACAAAAGAGATAAAAATCCCTGCCCGCATGGCGCTCATATTCTAGTAGCAGATACAAAAAATAAAGAAAATAAATAAGTAAAATATATTGTATGTCAAATATTGATAAAACGCTTTGTCCAAATAGAAGAAGTAGATTAGATCAGGTCTATTGGCAAAAGCTTTGACCTACTCATTTTCTAGGAAATATTTGGTGTCTCTTGTCTTCTCTACTTGTTTTTTTAAGTGCTAGGACAACAAAAGGCTAAGACCTCCTTACATAGTCCCTTCTAATCTTGAGGTGTGAAGATGAATGGAATAGAATATGGGCAGGTAAGTTGGATATGTGAAAGGGTCAGAAAATGTTTCTTGTCCATTGAATTAAAAAGAGAGCAGGTTCCAATATTTAGGCATAAAGCTGGAATAATTAAACAAAAATGTGCATAAAAGCACCACCAATTGGGTATAAATAAGGGCATATGCAACTTTGGAAAGAAAGGTCAAAATCTGTAACATCTGCAAAGCTCTCAGATATCTGCTACCCATAGGAGGAAGGATAGACCCCAAATTTTGGCAAATATGATTTGGGTGGGATAGTAAATAGCTGAGTAAGATGAAAAAAGCCTTCTGGGAATAACCCTATATTATAAGGACCTCTCCTTAATTTGTATTCTCCAAGCACTTGCAGTTTCTATCACCTTATTGAGCAGTAGAATGTACAGATCTTCAAGATTTTGTATATTGTCACCCACTTCACAGAACTGGAGACTAAACTACCAATTTTATATCTCTCTTAGCACACCACAGAGTGCACACTTAACGGTAGGTTCCTAATTGCCCTAGCGTGTGATATAAAGATCAGTAGGTTTTTAGTTGTTCTCAATTAGCTAAGGCTGGTCAATATTTTCTTGAAAATCCTCTGGCCTGGAAGTGAGTTCCTGTTATGTTCCTATTGACCAATAAGACATGGTGATAAAGGTGATAAAAGGAGCAAGTGACAATATTCATGGGAGTTTTGTTAAGTTTATTAACAGAGGCATACTTCTTTAGTTACCTAAAGATATCAGAAAATTACAATTTGTTTCATCTTTGTTGGTAGCTGCACTAGCTATTCTATTACAGAAGAATTGATTTATGTGCAGCTGTTAAAAACACAATGAACCAGTCACCACAATTTTAACAAGTGTTGATGCTGGAATACCCACTTCAGATAGCATCTATAACGCTGTCATGAAGAAAGTTTACAGTACACTACCTAAAGTAATGATGCTGGTTCCACATTTGCCAAGATCAGTGTCACTGCTATAGTACTGGGTTCTACTGAGGTGGCAGTGAAATTTCACTCTTTTCATGGTCCTTTAAACAAGGCCAAGGCATACATCCAAGAATGCTGTTTTTTATTCTCTTCTTATGATATAAGCTTTATACCACTTGGACTGGGATAACATGAAGTTTATTTTGATTGTCGCCAAGTAAGTCATTCTTTATATTTGTCCCCCTCTTCTCATTCTTTATGTGTGAAAGTTGTGGGTAGAACAATTTACAAGGAAGATGACAGCTGCTGTTAGGAAATGGGTACATTTTTATTACAAGTTAAAATTAAGTCTCCACTCACAAAAAGTTTATAGAATGTGCATAGTGTGTGTGTTTGGGGGTCCTACAGAACAGATGTAAACAAGTAGCCATAATACAATGTGATGAGTATAAACAAAGTGCTCAAAAATGGAGCGCCTTATTCTTTGGTGACCTCTTCAGTAAGTCATATTTGTAAAGCAGATGGGGGGAAGGAAAAAGAGAAGAGAGTATTTCGGGAAAAAGAGATCGCTGGAGCAAAGGCACAGAGTGCAGAGAGTGCAAAAGTAAATTCAAGGAAATCTTAGTGGCCCTGTGGCACTTGAGTATAATGTAAGAGGGTGCTGAGGAGCAGAGAAGTCATGCCTATCCTTTTATTTTGCTATGAGACTTGTACGCTAACTGGCTTCTTGCATAGTTTCATTGGCATCACCTAGAAGTCTTACAGAAGAATATCACTCACACTAAGATTCTCTAATGAAACCAGGCTACCAGATAGACAAAGGGGCAGAAAAATGCAAAGTGAAAAAGAAATTGGACAATGGAAAGTAGAGGAAGGATTTAAGGATGCTCACCTCAAACACCCCTGAGACAGTGTTGGGATGTGGCAGCAGACCTTAGGGAGAGGATTGTTGTTTCTGAGCCAGGATTTGGGCCCAGAGTATCAGAAGCACAGGCACATAAAAAAAAATCTTCAAATAGTGGCTTTGACTGCAAATCAAGGGGTAGTTTTCACAGGGAAGCAGCATACAAAAGGTAGTCATTTGCCAAGAGAGATCAGTAGCAATGATAAGGGTCATCTTTAAATGTCAAGGGCAGAGTTTTGTAAGTCCAATACAACTGATGGATGCATTCGACCAAGATCCACGTTTGACCAGTTCACCTCCACATAGTATACCTTCTGTTCTTTATCAAAGTAAAGGCATTTTTTCTGACTTTTGGAACACAGGACAGCAACGAATGGCTTTGGTGTTACAGAATAGTCCTGAGGCTTCCTCTCCAAATACACCTCACTATCTTCACTCTCTCTTCCCTTTCTGATCTTCTACAACTTGTCTTTTTTCTTCATTCTTTTATCTTCTCTTAGCTTAGGTCTTCCAAGAGCGTCTATGGGAACAGTTTTAGCAGTACTGATGACCCCCAAGGTTCAAAAGGGAGTACGGATGTCTATTAGAAGGCTTCCAAGAAATACTAGTGGAATTCTTGAAAATCTGCACGATCTGAAATTGGGAAAATTCTTAATGAATGTTTGAAATCATTAGAATACACTTAAACCATACTTTATTTCCACATACCATAGAACTTTGAGAGTTGGAATAGGCCCTGGAAACCATATAATACAATTTCCTCACTTTATATAGGAAAAAAAATTGAAGACAAGTAAGATGATTTGTCTAAGGAATATAGTTATTGATAAATAAACTAACACTTAGATTTCCTATGAAATTACTATTTTTTAAGGCTAAAAGTACATGTACTGAATTAGTTTCTTTTTCTTCATTATGGCAAAGAAAAGATATAACATGAGATCGACCCTCAACAAATTCTTTTTTTTAATTTAATTTTATTTTTTAATTGCAGTAACATTGGATTATAACATTATATAGCTTTCGGATGTACGTCATAACATATTTGGAATTCTGTGTAGATTACATCATGTTCACCACCCAAAAACTAATTACAGTCCATCCCCTCACATGTCAGCCTAATCACCCCTTTTGCCCTCCCCCTCTTCCCCGATGGTAAGAACCAATACATTCGCCCTTGCTATGTGTTTGTTTGTGGTTGTTTTTATCTTCTACTTATGAGTGAGATCTCCCTCTAATTTCAGTCAGCATAATACCCTCAAGGTCCGTCCATGTTGTCACAAATGGCCGGATTTTATCATTTCTTATGGCTGAGTAGTATTCCATTCTGTATAAATACCATATCTTCTTTATCCATTCATCCCTTGATGGGCACCTAGGTTGCTTCCAAGTCTTGGCTATTGTGTATAATGCTGCAATGAACATAGGAGCGCATGTATCTTTATGCCTTTGCATTATCAAGTTCTTTGGATAAATACCCAGCAGTGGGATAGCTGGATCATATAGTAGATCTATTCTTAATTTTCTGAGGATACTCCATACTGCTTTCCATAGTGGCTGCACCAGTTTGCACTCCCACCAGCAGTGTACAAGGGTTCCCATCCCTCCACATCCTCTCCAATATCTGTTGTTTCCTGTCTTATTAATTATAGCCATTCTGACCAGAGTGAGGTGATACCACATTGTAGTTTTGATTTGCATTTCCCTAATAGCTAATGATGTTGAGCATCTTTTCATATGACTGTTTGGCCATCCACATATCTTCTTTGGAGAAATCTCTGTTCAGATCTTTTGCCCATGTTTTAATTGGGTGGTTGTTTTTGTTGTTGTTGAGCTGTATGTGTTCTTTGTATATTTTGGATATTAACCCCTTATCTGATATATGGTTTGCAAATATCTTCTCCCAATTGTTAGCTTGTCTTTTCATTTTGTTGATGGTTTCCTTTGCTGTGCAGAAGCTTTTTAGTTTGATGTAGTCCCATTTGTTCATTTTTTCTTTTGTTTCCCTTGCCTGGTCAGACATGGTACTTGAGAATATGCTGCTAAGACTGATGCCAAAGAGTGTACTGCCTATGTTTTCTTCTAGAAGTTTCATGTTTTCGGGTCTTACATCCAAGTCTTTAATCCATTTTGAGTTGATTTTTGTGCATGGTGTAAGGGAATGGTCTAATTTCATTCTTTTGCATGTGGCTGTCCAGTTTTCCCAACACCATTTATTGAAGAGACTCTCCTTTCTCCATTGTATGCTCTTGGCTCCCTTGTCGAATATTAGCTGTCCATAAATGTGTGGGTTTATTTCTGGGCTCTCAATTCTGTTGCATTGATCTGTGTGTCTGTTTTTGTGCCAGTACCATGCTGTTTTGGTTACTATGGCTTTGTAGTATATTTTGAAATCAGGGAGTGTGATACCTCCAGCTTTGTTCTTTTTTCTCAGGAATCCTTTGGCTATTCGGGGTCTTTTGTTGTTCCACATAAATTTTAGGATTCTTTGTTCTATTTCTGTGAAAAATGTTGTTGGAACATTCATAGGGATTGCGTTGAATCTATAGATTGCTTTAGGAAGTATGGACATTTTAACAATGTAAATTCTTCCAATCCAAGAGTAGGGAATATCTTTCCATTTCTTTGTGTCTTCTTCGATTTCTTTCAACAATGTTTTATAGTTTTCGGTGTACAGATCTTTCACGTCTTTGGTGAAATTTATTCCTAGGTGTTTTATTCTTTTTGTTGCAATTGTAAATGGGATTGTATTCTTAATTTCTATTTCTGCTACTTCATTGTTAGTGTATGGAAACACAACCGATTTTCGTTTGTTGATTTTCTATCCCACGGCTTGATTGTATTCCTTTATTGTTTCTAAAAGTTTTTTAGTGGATTCTTTAGGGTTTTCTGTATATAAAATCATGCTGTCTGCAAAGAGTGACAGTTTCACTTCTTCTTTTCCAATGTGGATCCCTTTTATTTCTTTTTCTTGCCTGATTTCTCTGGCTAGGACTCTTAAATAAGAGTGGTGACAATGGGCATCCTTGTCTGGTTCATGTTCTTGAAGGGATAGCTTTCAGTTTTTCTCCATTGAGAATGATATTTGCTGTGGGTTTGTCATATATGGCCCGTATTAGGTTGAGGTATTTTCCTTCTATACCCATTTTATTTAGAGTTTTTATCATAAATGGATGGTGTATCTTGTCAAATGCTTTCTCTACATCTATTGAGAAGATCATGTGATTTTTATTCTTCATTTTCTTGATGTGGTGTAGCACGTTGATAGATTTGTGGATTTTGAACCATCCCTGCATCCCTGGAATGAAATCCACTTGATCATGATGTATGATTTTTTTAATGTATTGTTGTATTCGATTTGCTAGAATTTTGTTGAGGATTTTTGCATCGATGTTCCTCAGTGATATTGGCCTGTAATTTTCTTTTTTTGTGTTGTCGTTGTCTGGTTTTGGTATGAGGATAATGTTGGCTTCATAGAATGAGTTAGGAAGCATCCCCTCCTCTTCAATTTTTTGGAAGAGTTTGAGAAGGATAGGTATTAAGTCTTCTTTGACTCTTTGGTAGAATTCACCAGGGAAGCCATCTGGTCCTGGACTTCTATTTTCTGGGAGGTTTTTGATTGCTGTTTCAATCTCCTTACTGGTGATCAGTCTATTCAAATAATCTACTTCTTTTTGGTCCAGTTTTGGAAGGTTGTATGTTTCTAAGAATTTATCCATTTCTTCTAGATTATCCAATTTGTTGGCATATAGCTTTTCATAGTATTCTCTTATTATCTTTTGTATTTCTGAGGTGTCCGTTGTAATCTCTCCTCTTTCATTTCTGATTTTATTTATTTGAGCCTTCTCTCTTTTTTTCCTGGTGAGTCTAGCTAAGGGTTTGTCAATTTTGTTTATCTTTTCAAAGAACCAGCTCTTGGTTTCATTAATTTTTTCTATTTTTTTTAATCTCTATTTCATTTATTTCTGCTCTGACTTTTCTTATTGCCTTCCTTCTGCTGATTTTGGGCTTTGTTGTTCTTTTCCAGTACCTTTAGATGTGCTTTTAGATCGTCTATTTGGGATTTTTCTTCTTTGTTGAGGTAGGCCTGAATTGCTGTAAACTTCCCTCTTAGAAACGCTTTTCCTGGATCCCACAGATTTTGGCATGTTGTGTTTTCATTTTCATTTGTCTCCAGGAATTTTTTGATCTCTCCTTTGATTTCTTCATTGACTCAATCGTTCGGTAGCATTTTGTTTAATCTGCACATTCTTGTGGCTTTTCTTGTTTTCTTCCTGTAGTTGATTTCTATTTTCATACCTTTGTGGTCAGAAAAGATGCATGGTATTATTTCGATCTTCTTAAATTTATTGAGACTTGTTTTGTAGCCTAAGATGTGATCAATCCTGGAGAATTTTCCATGTGCATTTGAAAAAATGTGTATTCTGTGGTTTTTGGACGGAATTTTCTGTATATATCTACTAAGACCATCTGGTGTAATGTGTCCTTTAAGGCCAGTGTTTCCTTATTGATCTTCTGTTTGGATGATCTATCCATTGGTGTAAGAGGAGTGTTAAAGTCCCCTACTATTATTGTGTTACTGTCTATTTCTCCTTTTATGTCTGTTAATAATTGCTTTATATATTTAGGTGCTCCTATGCACCCTCAACAAATTCTTAAGTGTACAGTAGTACAGTGTTGTTGCCCACCGTACAGTATGCGCATTCTTGTAGAGCAGATGTCTAAAACTTTTTCATCTTGCATAACTTACTTAGTTTCTTTGGTGGTCTGCTGAAGCTACATTTTTAGTGATGGCGACTCCTGTACATTTCTAGGTAACCTCCCAAGCTTATCTTATATGCAATCATATAAATATAATCTGGTGTCTTACTTCAAGTTGCTTCATTTTTATTTAATGAGAATAACTCCAGGTTGTATGGGAATGAAACTCTCTTCCACATAGATTCATATTTAAAGAATAGGGACCTTGATAAATTTTATTCAATTAAAATAAAAAACTTCTGTTCAACAGAGGCAGCATAAGCAAAGTTAAAAGACAAACTGCAGACTAGGAGATCATATTTTCAAAGCATAAGGGATTAGTAGGCAGAATAGATAATATCCTTCAAACCAATAAGATAAACACTAAAAGCCAAATAGAATAATGGGTAAATGATATGAACAGGCAATTCATAGAAAAGGAAATCCACATGACCAATAAACACATGGAAAGATATTAAACCTTACTAGTAAATGAGAAAATGAATATTAAAACACAGTGAGACATCATTTCATACTCACAAAATTGGCAAAATGTTTTAAGTCTGACATTACAGCACTGGAGGATATGGAGAAACAGAAACCCTCACATACTACTCGTGGAAGCATAAAGTGGTTGTTATGGACTGAATGTTTATGTTGCCCCAAATTCATATGTTGAAATCCTTACTCCCAATGTGTTAGTATTAGGAGGCGGAGCCTTTGTGAAGTAACGAAATCATGAAGGTGGATCTCTCAGGAATGAGACTAGTGTCCTTATGAAAGAAACCCCAGAGAGCTCTCCAGCCTTCTTTTCCACCACATGAGGATATATAAGTTGGCAATTTGAAACCTGGAAGAGGGCTCTCACCAGAACCTAACCATGCTGGCACCCT